TATAATATAAATCAAGAGCCGTTAACATTGTTAAATTAAATATAAATCAATATTTCAATCAATCTATATACTATTGTCATCAAATAAATTTTAGCCCAACAAATATGTTGCCACTATTACCGTTATAATCATCTTAAAATACTGTACATACCATTTATATATTTGATTTAGATAGGCCTATTTAATATTAATTATATCGCGGTAATGCTGAAATAAATATATCAAACAGTATAGAGTAAGGGAATCTACAAGTGTGAAACAAGAGATCCGATATCTATAAAGCACAGTTACTTAATGGTGCAACTCCACTCATGGCAATCATGCGTTTCCGGACATTCAACCGCGATACGAGGTCGTATGTTCGAGGCGCTTGTCACACTACTTGTGTGCCCTCTGGGGCAGTAACGTTTGCAAAACGTCCGTTGGATATAATTACGTATATAGATAGGCCTACGTATTTATGGCTCTACGGAAACACTTAGTTTTGAACACAAATTAGAGCGATAACATAAAATTGTTAAACAGGTAAAGTCATTAGTATAACATGTCGCCCATTTAAGTTGAATTTTATGGAAGAAAATTAGACCATATTCATTATAATTTCTTATGTATTATCTGATGATGCTTGATGGTTATAAAAACCGAAAGTTCCACTAATTAATCTCAGATAAGGTAGTATAATACATACTCCAAATATCGAAATGCACGCATCGTGTCGGGATTCAATATTTTGACATTAATTATGTCATCATCATTCCTGATACTTGGAGTATGTACTGTATTATACTATTTTATTTGATTGTTATACGTCCGAAAGAATTCAGTAGTCATTTAAAGGTAACGAGTCTTTAGCGAAATTTGAAATATAAACTAAATTAAGATTAAAGATCCCCTATAACCAATAAGAAACACATGGAAATAATTCATATTTTATTAAAAACATTTTTATTAATTACCAATTTGTTGTTCTATATGGGAAGACATAAACTTTTAATACACATGAGGGCGCCAACCGACAAAGAAAGGAAAAAGGGAAAATACCAGACAGACTTCCTCCTGCGTAAATCTGACACTTCAGTCTTAGTCAAGAACATAGAATTCAAAAGATTATGCATAATTACCATGAGGCAATTACTTGCTTTTCTTTTTTTACTAGTTCTGTTCGATATTAATATCTGCAGTAAATACAGTAAGTTTGTTTTGGCTCTATCAATGAAAATCGAAGCGGCTAGGCCTAGGCCTATGTGTGAAGCTAGGCCTAGGCTAGGCTAAATAAATTACTAGGCTTAGCTAGGGCCTAGGCCTAGGTCCTAATCTACTGTAGTAGGGTAGGGCGGCCCTGGGAATACCGACCCTGGTTGGTAGGCCTATCATAGCTTGGGTCTACTCCTTTGTCATGCCGGACTACGAAGCCAGGCTCCGGCGCAACTCCCACCTCTTTAAACAGAATTATTCTTGAGTAGTGTGATCATAAGTAGGATATACTATATTACTAGCCTAGGCCTTGGGCCTACAGAATTATAATATAGGCCTATACTAATTAAAATGAACGTTTCATTTGTATGAAGTATTTTACATTTTTATTTCTATTTGAGTCACCATCTTATGATTGAATGTAATTCCTCTTACTATATTGATGAAACACAGAAGATAATCAATGATTGATCTTGGTACAGTAACTTGGTCCCTGGAGTGTTTTGTCTTGCCAATAAATAGAATACAACTGCCCCAGTAGGCTATAAACATAATATAATATAAAGAGGCTATATTTAGTAATAATTGAATTAATCTTATTTTCTAGATATCTTTATTCCAATCGATCAAATCACGGTTACAACACTTCTTCCTAATGCTACCTACCAGGTGACTGTAGGCAACATCAGTACCTCGGCTACGTTCCTCACTTTCCAGGCACATAGTCTCCACAATGTAATATATGCTTCAACGACAGAGGTTCCTTCAACAGATACATCTATGACAGGGCCAAGCGTCGGACTTGTGCTGTATCTGGACCTTCATCAGGTAGAGGTGGTTTGGTACGTAAAGAATAAAGAGACACATGCAGTGTCAGCACAGCTTACAGTGATGCAGTATGGCAATGACATCAGTAAGTATGCTTGGTGTATACACAGTGACATTTATAACTGTTCTCTATCAGTTAATAGAAAAAGATATATATATGCTTGTGGTACACTTCGTAGATACTGTAGTTCTGAAAAGAACTGTTGTTGTTGTTTGAGAATATCTCAACATTTCGAGAAAAAGATAGAAAAGAAAATGTGAACCCTCTGTTTGTAAACTTTCCTTTTTCTTGTTCTGTAGACTTTCCAACCCCTCCTGTTCCTGGAGGCTGCTGTTTGACCTCTAACCTTGAGTTAGATGCCAACATCCACATCGCTTGGAGCAATTATTTTCAGAGCTCAGTGGAGTTTTCACAAGCAAACGTTGGTGTACCACATGGCATTCTTCCGAAACCTGTTTGCTCCATGACACATGCTTTGCAGTTCAGGTAATCTCAGCATGCTATTCGAAGGTGTATATATTTAGTTAGAATAAATTTCTTCATGAATTTTGTGTTCAGGTAGCACAGGAGTCTGGGACCCCAGTGGTGGATCTAGTGGGGTGAATAGGGTGACTAGCCACCCCCACTTCGGTTACTGTGAAAAAAAATGGTCACTTGTCTTTTGTGTGTGCTTCTCATATACATGTTACAGTATCATTCCTGATGATGACATAATTAATGTCGAAATATTGAATCCCAACACGATGGCGTGTATTTCAATACTTGGAGTATGTATTATACTTTCGTATGTGTATTAGACTTTCTATTTTAAGCTTTTCCTACCGACCTACCCATTTCTTTTGGATTTTCCCAAAAACGTGGCCAACTCAAGAATTTTTTTTCTGATGCCATTTAAGAGAAGCTAGCCGTCTACTAATGCCAAAATATCTCAAATGGTAGTGGACGCCTCCTCCCCCCTTGTTATGATTATGATATGATTATTATTATTATTATTATTATTATTATTATTATTATTATTATTATTATTATTATTATTATTATTATTATTATTATTATTATCATTATTATTATTATTATTGTTATTATTAATATTGTTATTATTATTATTATATTTATATTTATTATTATTATTATTATTATTATTATCAATATCGAAGGTCACTATGAGACAAGGCTTGCCTTCTAATTGTGATCTTAACAATGGTTTCTTTTTTTGCCTCTACAACTGTTTCAATTTGTCCATTGTTGAATAAAGTTATTGTGATGTGTTATTATGATGTGTTATGAATTTATTAAATAATTAAGCATAACCATATCACAAATTCAAACTTGGTGTACTAGTCAATACTCTGTATCTCTTTCAGGCTTCACTATGGTCTATATATTTACTACCTACCACGTTTTAAAAATAGCGAGTCTTCATATTTTGAAGGAATACAGAAGATGATGACCGTTGATGGTGTCAGAAAATATGGCACAAAGGTAAAAATACCTGTAGCATAGTAGACAATTGGCTAAGGAGCTGAGACAAAATTTAAAAGAGATCTCTATGAAAAACTACTTGTGGTCAGAGTGCTGCCAATAAAAAGATCCTTTTAAGTTGATTGATCAGTGTAAATATTCATCAATTGAGTTTCTCATTAACAGTATAAGATAAGATAAATAACTTTATTTTGTCCTTGCAAAATAAAAAACAAGGAAATTCCTCTTCCACTGACATACAAAATTCAGTAAAAGATTTAAAAATATGAATTCACAACCACGAAAAACATCACAAGGCCTAGAAACAGCTAAAGTAAACAATAATATAAATTAATGCCACTATCCAGTATTTAGTTACCATTGAATCTAACACCACCTTCATTGTATAAATGGATGGCATTTGCCACAAATGAGTATTGAAATCGATTTTGCTTAGCACTAAGTTCTCTTAGTCTATTTATTATCTATATCATAAGTATATTTCCATTTTTATTTTGTCACCATTAATGAGATTAGTAATCCTATATGTTATTATTTGAGCATTGTAGTAGATAGAGTTATAAGAAAGGTACGAGGCTCAAGTAGATTGCTAACTACTGTGGAGGAGATGGCCATTTGTTTGCCATAAAATGGCCATCACGTAAGTAGTAGTATTACTGTGGTTAGTACTATTATGTGTAATACTACTGTAGTATGACAACCCACCACCACAACCAGTCATTCTTGATTGTATTAACGAAAACCTATAAATTCAAAACTTTTCAAAAAATCACAGATGGATACAAATAAAAAGAGTTTCCAATAACTTACACAAAATACTACAAAATCCTTAAATTTGCTAGCTGAAATTTAAGGATTTTTGCAATGACTATACCAACGATATTACAAAGTGAAAATTAAGGATTTTTTTTTTGTTATAATGTTGAGTTGAAAGCTTAAAACTAGTTGAGGCTTGCCATCCTAAAACCAGTGTACTGTCGCTAAAAATGTTAAACAGAATAATTAACATAAGAATGTGTCAGTATTGTATACTTAGGACAGAGAAGGCATAATACTTGTACTCATAACTTTAGCAATAGTAAGTCAATTCCAAGAAAATAATTTTAAAGTTTATAATGTGGAGATTATGAATGCATTAATTTTCTTGTTTTGGTAACTAATGCTGGTTTTGGTTTAATAAGACCCAATTAAAATATTATACAAAGCAAGTAATTAAATTTTAATTATTTTCAAGTTTATTAGATTTATAGCAGAATAATATTATAGACATTCATTTTGCTTATCCTGTTTTTTTTGTTTTGTTTTTTTACTAGGTTGCTTCGTACACAAATAAATTTCAAGGAAAGGTAATCCTATCATCAATCCAAGGACAAGGTGTGGTTTACAATGTTATAGTTACAGATCCGGTGGCCAATCACAGCTCAGCAGCTTATGTACCAATGGTGAATTTTGCATGCACATATGATACCACTGACCACAATCAACCCAGCTGTACTAATATCTGTGAGTCATTTAATTTAGTAATTGTTTTTCTTTAAAATTTAATTTGAATTAATAATGTGGGACTGAACATATGTTTATCCTTTACAAAATTAATTTTCAAAATAATTTTTTAAAAACCAGCATGTAATAATTTGAAGTGCTTTGAGGCCATGTTGGCATTAAGCCCTATATAAGTGTAACATATTCAATTATTATAATTTATATTTTTATCGATCTTTATTGTTCAGATAGCAGTCACCTGTTGTCCACTTTATAACCTTGTGTTGTATTTTACCTGTTTATGATAATTATTTTACTTTCTCAGCCACTTGTCTATGCAAATGAACTGGACCTGAAACAAAGTTAAATGTGCCTAATTATTTTTTCTCCTTTTTTGAACTCGCAGTGGAGCCTGGCTTTATAACCATGTACGTTGGCTTAAGTATTTTAGGCTTCATACTGTGTTTTTCTGGCCATTACTATTTCAAAATTGGTAAGTACAGGTGGTCTGATACTTTCACTTCACATAAAATGAAAAATATTATCAATTATGATAGTTATTAGTGGAAGAAGGTAAATTTTTTCACTATTTTTTAGAAGTTTTAATATCAATATCAACCAATAATAATAATGGTAATGACTGTAATATAAATATTTCAATCAATTTATGTAATAAAACTTTTTTTATTAGCAGCTCCCACCTTTTTGATGGTGCATCAATTCTATATAATTTACATAAAAGGAAAAAATGGAAACCTTCGCATACAAATGTAAATAATTAATATAAATAAAAGCTTTTTTTTTTTTTACATTTTTATCTTATTGCAGAGGTGTTCTTCTTTGGAGGTCTAACTATTGGGATTCCAGCATTCCTCATATTCTCAACATCTTCAAATATATTTACTGATGGTAATACTACAGCAGATTATTTTTAAATAGTTTATTTGCATCCAGTGGCGTAACAATGAGTCATAGAGTCCAAGGACGGAAACATGTTTGGGCCCACAAATTTCAGTGAAAACTTAACTAACCTCTAAGGACAGACTTTATGTATATTAAGGCTAAAAATACTACAACTGAAGGCAATGTCAGTATCGTTAAAGAAATTGTGACTATAGTATAAGCCATTCCTGGGGCCCCTTTGAACTTAGGGCCCTGGGTATTCTTCCCCAAATCTGGGAATAAGCTCAAACCTTATAAGCCTAAGATGCTTCCGAAGGAATTTCTTATTAGACTGATAAAAAATAATCTAATAGGTCTTACAGACACAATGGACGAGTCAAGTGGCCGAGCGGTAAGGTAGGGGCGCCACCAGCTACAGCCTTAACGTCGGCGCTGGTTCCAGATGCTTCTCGCCCATGGTTCGGTTGGTAGAACCAAGTCTTCTCGGATAAGGACTTAAAATGGAGGTCCAGTGTATACATCTGGCTTGTGTGCACTTTAAAGAACCCATTCCATCTTTCGGAAGAGTAGGGGGTTACCCCAATGTTATGGTTCATTTCAGCCCTTGTCGTTGTGGAATGATGTGAACACGTATAGCAAGAAACGCCTCTTTACGGCTGCTACTGTAGGTAGCCAGGGACTACGCCCATACGCAATTTAGCACAATGATGCTGCAAGTTATGGGTTATTCTTCTACCTTTACCTTCAATTCTGACAGGGTAAATCTTCTTTAAATGTCAATATGATGGTTAAGGCGTGGAGTATTTTTAACGCGTTTTAAATATTCAAATGAAAATCAAATTGCTCCATTTCTATTGCACCATTCCAACAATCATTGCTCATGGCACAGTGGACTAGATGTTGCATTTTCAATAAACGGCGCACTTTCATCTGTCCACGACAGGAGCCGAGTGGACCAGTACACGTCTCAAAAGATGTACTGACTTCTTTAAAGTGCACATGAGCATTTGTGTACACTGAACCTATGGTTTATAGTCCTTATCCAAGAAGATTTTTGTTCCACCACTGGAACTAGGAGCGAGGCGGCCACGAACCCGTGCCGTTATTGTTGGCTATGGTTACGGTGCCCCTGCCTTAACCGCTCGGCATTTAAACCTTCATTCTGTTTTTACCATTATTTTTTTGTGTCTGTTATTTTTTCCCAACTCTTGAATATATTACTATTTATATTTTTATATTATATTACTTCTGAGAAAATATCTTGTTTTGTTTTTGTTAAAGGATTTTGGACACTTTGTATTGGTATGCAAGCATTATGATAAGCATAACACTTTATAAATTTTTTTTTTTCAGCATGTATTGTACTGGGGTTCACATTTGGTGGCATAGGAGGTGGAATTCTCTTCATTTTGTGGTGGCTCTATGGTAAAGTTCTTCCTACAATGCTCATCGTAGCGATTAACTTTGGGTACTTGTTTGCAAGCTGTGCATTCTTCATTGGACCATTAGGTAATTTTTACATCACAGTTCTGCGAGACCAATGACTATCACATACATTCAATTCAAATTGTTTATCTATCAACCAATAGAAACATATAATAGAATACTGCCATTCAGACTGGCTCTCCAGACAATATTAACAAAAGCACAAGAGTATGTTAAATTATATATACAACAAAATGAGACAAGTTAACTTTTGAGCAAATTCAATTTCCTGTGTAGTTATTATTATCTTTTCATTAAATTCTACAAACATAACAAAGGATAAAATGAAACATATGTTGGTTAGCTTGGGAGTATCAAAAGTGCCTCTAGAACACTGCCACCAACATGATCATGCTTCTCCATCATCAAACACAACACATATATCATTATTCTATTATATTATTATTTTATTATTATTATTTATTATATTTTATATATCAACAATTCATTGGTGAATCTGAGGCGAGAGGTCCTGACTGCCCCCTCCCCCTTTGGGCTGCCAAGCAAAAAAAATTCTAGACCTACCTTTTGAGGACACGTGAGCTGAATTTTTTTTTTACCACAGGAAAATAAGAAGTGGGTAAGTTCGTTTCCAGCCATCTAGGAATCTAAATTTTCCCGGGTGAGGATCCCAGACCATTCTTTTTTTTTGGGGTTCATCAATTTGTGGAAAAAAGAATATGTATGCAAATACTCAATTTTTTCTTTCTGTATGTATACACACATGATACATGTAGGCCTATTTACTGTAATAAGAATGAGAAAATTTACCTGACCATTTACAAGAGGAGGAAAACATTATGAAGAACTTAAAAGTCATTAAAAGACACTTCTGAAGTCGGGAAAGCTCATTTTCCGCCATCTAGGAATCATAAATTTCCCAGTGAAGAACCCCTGGACCCCCTATCTCTATGGGGTTAAACAATTCATGGAAAAAAATAATATGTATGCAACTACTCAATTTTTTTTTTATGTATGTATACACACATAATAGGCCTATTTACTGTAATAAGAATGAGAAAGTTTACCTGACCGTTTTCAAGAGGGGGAAAACCTTGAATTTTGAAGAACTTAAAAAGTCATTGAAAGACACCTAAGAAGTCGACAAAACTCATTTCCCGCCTTCTAAGACTCATAAAATTTGCCCAATGAAGAACCTTTGTTTTTGGGGTTTTTTGGAAACATTTTGACCCCTCCTTCTAAATTTGAAACCAGATCTGCCCTTAACAGGATGTGAAGTGTGTGGCATGTTTTTGGGTAATTGTAGTGAAAGCAGTATATTAATGATTGATTGCATGGTTGATTGATTGAATATTACCACTACGTTGTTAATGTCTTTGCCAAAATTATATTACTTCCATAATTTTCCTAAAGATAAGAATATCTCAGTTTCCATTTGGAATTCATTTTTAACCTGCTTAATATCCTAAATTAATCTTTTCTTAGGAAATATGAATGTTTGGAGTGACAACATAGCCTATGGATTGACTTTTACAAGCGCTATATTACTCGTACCGATCTTCACCATCCCATTCACACGCAAGGTAAGTGAATAGCTACACTGGCTGTGACACAGGTTGCGCCAAGTGGTCCTAGTTCCACCCAACAATTGTAGTGGGTGGGCCAATCTTTCTGTAGGATTTGCCAACTAAAATTGTTGGGAAAATATTTGTGAATATTGATTTTGACAAAACCGCTTGCTGATTTTGAGTGAGGAATGAATCACCAGCAGTTGGCTGATGTTTATCTCATCTCTTAGAACATAAAAAAAAAAAACTTAATTTTTTCGAGGGGCCTTCTGCCCATTGACCTTAACTGGAGGTGGGGGGGGGGGGCACTAGCACTGCGTGCAAAGTGTTTAGCCCGACAACCAAATGTTCAATCAGTGCAGTCGCCTATAGATAGCTACTTTAGATGAGGATTGTCACACTGTTGTCACAATATCACCACACACAGCAAAATAATATGATGATCAATTCTGATTCACTTTCAGCTGAGTCTGTTAGCTACAGCATTATGGGGTTCGTACCTGATTATGAGCTTGATAAGTTATGTATCAAAGTCAACGCTCCATCTCGTCGTCATATACCCGCTTGCTAGGACAGTTTTTGAGGACTTCAACAATAATCTCATATTTCTACCATATGCCATGCAAGGTTAGATCTGATTATAATTATTAATTTGAGTATATTTCAACTGAATATGATTTCAGAATAATTATTGACAATCTGAAAATTTGTTACGTTTACTTAAACCCCTTAAAACTATATACATCCTTTGCTATTCATCATCTTATTGGCTGTTAACAGTTTTAATGGGTTAGAATAAACCATTAAAACTATAAACATCTTTGCTCTCTATCATGTTATCAACTGTGTGATGTCTTTAACTTTTTAGATATTATCATTATTGTGCTGTGGGTCGTACTCGCTATCGCAGGGGTGATCACACAACACTTACTCACACGAAAGGATCAGCGAGACTTTCCCGAATGCCCGGCTGTGTTATACGCCAAAAGAAACATAGAGTTTACTCCACAAGAACAGCAAATACCACCAATAGTTGATGCTAATGAGAGAACACCACTCCTGCAAGATACAAGATGAGTGGTAAAAAACAGAAGGATGTACAGTATATCTTTAAAGTAATTGTCTTCCTTGTATATTTACTATTTTTATGATAGGTCATCTATACATTAAAGGTCATTTGAAACCACCAATTATTTAATAATTATATAAAAATACTCAAAACTCTTATATTTTATTCTCCATAATCAAATGAGTAACCATCAAGAATACTAAAAAGTGCATATGAATATTTGTGCACAGTATTCAGTGCCGTATCTGGAGTTTTGAAATGTGGGGTGGCAGGTGGGGGACACAAAGTGGGGAGCTCCCAAAATAACGTGATATGAGGTGATTTTTAACTACTTCAGGATATTTTTTGCTACAAACATTTTCCAACGGGGGAAACTTGGCAGGGGAGCATCCTGAATTTTTTAAATGGTGGAGCACATCATTTTCAGAATAGATCAGTGATTAGCACTTATTTCATTACATAACATTGATATGCATTGAAAGTTTAAAATTTCGTGACAAACGGTGGGGGAATGTACCCTTCTGGATCCGTGCCTGCTGGGGAAACAAGCTTTTTTTGGGGTGGGGTGGGGTGCACTTCTACTGTAGATACGCCACTGACAGTATACTTCAGTTTTTAAACTGATATGCAAGGAATTTTTTGAATACGTACTGTATTTTGTTATACTGACGTGCCTGTGCTCTTGTGTTTCTATAGCACAGCTTCCACATTAAATATTCTTAAGGTGCTTTTTAAAGCCAATAAATGTGAAACATTTAAGAAAAACAACAGAAACAGAACGATACAATAATACTTCAGTCATTTTGGAATCTAGTAACTAATGAAAGCTCTATGAAGTTTTTTTTTTTGCTGAGTGGTGGGGGTAGGGTTCGAATTTCCCCACAGCACCGACAGTAACTGCTTCCTTCCACTGCTGTTGTAAATCCCAGACTCGACAGCAATGGATTATACACTTGCATTTATAGAATAGGCTTATTCTTAAGCAATTTACAAAGCTTGTTGATGTAGAAGAATGAATTGCTGTAGTAAAACCATAGTTTACAGCAACTATTTGCTGATGGAGCATTTTGGGAAAAAGTGCCATAAGCAGTAAAGTTACTCCTGTAATTAAAATATTTGTAAAATCATGAAAAAGGGTTATTTTGCTCAAGGTGCCAATATTAATGTCAGTCTGTCCATTCATGTGATCCCTTAAAGTTGTCAAGTATTACAATTTTGAAACTATCCACAGGGTAAATATCTCAGGATTATTCCAACCTCACGGGTGAGAATAGTAAAAAGAGATGTCCACTGTAAACCTTGAAACGCCAGGTCATCTGAAAACAAGAGTTCTTGACAGTAATAAAAGGCTTTTGCTATGTTGCCTCCAACATGGCATGGTGTTGATGGTAGGCTGCATGCTGATGTCAACAATCCAGTGACATAAAGAATGTTTCCTTTTTTATCATATATTATGGGATGAATGCTGCTACTGTATATGTAATATTTTCATTATAAGCTGTAAATCATAAAGTTCTTCAAAATTGTCATAACACATAGAACTCAAAAATATATTATATTCTTTTAAATAATATCCAAACATAGCCTAAAATATATTATACAAGACATTTAATAATATAAATTGCTAATTAAGTTTTGTAAAAGTATTTTAAACATCCTTGAAGATATTGTAAATATATTTTGAACTAAAGCTGCTGTACTTAAATGATTTACCATATTTTTTGTTGAAATGATTTTGTCTATTTTTAGTGTACTGTATTATTCTGTTTATATTTTGTAAGAATTGTGTATCTGTTTATAATTTCTAACCTAATGATGTTTGGCATCAATTATTGAGGCAATTATGATTGAGAATATAAAAAATTTACCTATCTATACATTTGTCTTTCTTCATTGAATATCTGCTCAATGTTAATATTTTGTAAATCAACGATTGTTAATATGATTACTGATGCAATTACGATTAAATTAGAGAATATAAGAACATATGAGTTTGTCTTCAGTATTCATCTGCTTATTAGAAAATCTACTCACAAGACATTTTTCACATTACCGTGGTATTCCTTTATTTTCTACTTTAAATTGAAAATACAGTAATACAGTATTGCACTTAAAAAAATATGATTTTTATTCTACTATGCTACAAATAATTTCAAAGGTTACTTGGTTATACCAACTTAAATAATTTAATTCAAACTTCAATATTGAATTGTATATATATATATATAGTATATATATATATAAAACCTGGGTATGTATATATTTAGAGTTTATTAATTATATGTAATTTTTTTAAAATATTTTTAAAATGCCATGCCTGATTAAGGTAAGCATTTAATATCTTAACATGCCATACCAGATTAGCTGTCAGAGCTACTGTCATTAATCAACCAATCACAATATTTATATAGCAAGCTTAGGATGTTTAATTTCAGTATTCATTGAAGCAGGTATACAGTAGTCTGAAATTAATTATGACTTCTTGGGTTTGGAGTACTCAATGGCAAGCTTATTCTGCAAACTAGTCCCACCCCCCCCCCTTTTCAGGTGAAATGCCTACTTGTGCGTTTATTGTGATATATTTTTGTACCATATTTATAGAGGGTGACACATCCACATTCATTGGGTCATTCAGGGACTCGTTAAATTGATGCTCTATAATAGACTATAACTTAAGTCAATGCTTTTTGCATGGAGATTCTCTATAGTCATTAATCCAGCCATAAAGGACACTTAGATTGGAAAGAAGCATCCTAACCGCCACGATACAGCTCCAGAACATCAACCAAGAAAATAACTATGCTGCGACTGGACCTAATGGATATTCATATTAAACATTTGGCCCCCTGGCAACTAAAATTACAGTAAGTACAGTAGATAGATATAGGATACTTCACATTCAAGAGATTTACAACTTTATTGTGTAGCTTTTAATTAAATTTTAATTAGTGCAACAAACAATAATTGTTGAACTACTGTTTGTAATGTTTCACTTTCATCACTCTTAAAAGTTCAAATTACTGACCTCCAGAAAGAGAACTTTTTGAAGCAACACTTTGGTCCTTGTAGAACACTATATTCATACATACATACTTCTCAATCTCACATCTTTCTTAACTTGAAACATGAAGAAATAAGTTTAGAAAAACTATCCAGTGATGATCAAAGGTACAATCGCAATTACCTCACTGTTACGTACTTGACAACTAAATAAGCCGAGAATGGCAACCGTGCATGCGCTGGTAGCTATTAGGATCATAACAAACAAGCCAAATTTCCAAGCCCAGCAATGTACGTGGGAGAGAGATAATCGCAATTTAATGGATGAAATGACTAATAATTTCTAAACTTATTCCTCCATGGTATACCCACACACACACACCAGCATTATCCTGAGAATGCTTAACAAATCTACAGTCACCGTAAGAAGAAAGAACAAAAAATATCATCGTCGATCTCTGGGTAATCCAGATTGTGATAGAATTCATCTTGAACCATTTAACATTCTAGAGATACTGTACAAATAAATATATACACCAGGATGTAAACATGTACATAAAAACACCTTGTTCAGTACAGTAGATCTCATTTTTTTTCAAAGTTTGTTGTCGATGTTTCATTATCATTCTTTTCCTTTACATTCTTGTTATCATCTTTTGAATTCTCATTGTCTTCTAATATCTTAGTGTGTTGGTTGTGCATGCGTCTGCTTATTTCTAGCATCTCCCGTAACCCTCGGTTCTCTATCAGAAGACGAGCCATCATTTCTTCCATTGCAACCGCTGCTTTCTCATCCAAGTCCATGTTGTTGTTTTGCATCGTGGATGAAATTTCGGTTTCTTGAGATTTCTCCAGTGGCTGAAAAATATAAAAGTTGTCTTAATAATTCAATCATATTTTACTTCTTTAAAAAAAAAAATCACATCCCTTCTGGCTATCTTATTTTTCTACCTTCACTTTTAACAAAGAACAGTATTGAGAAAATCCTGCATAAATCAAACATTCTCATATAAGCTCTGCCCAGATTATCAAATTTTCTGTTGTATGCCCATATATAGTCATGATGTGCCTATATATGTTCATGATGTGATATCATCATGACCATATTTAGGCATCTCACATTTTTTTTTGTCAATTAAAATTTTAGTCTAAACAGGGCTTTAATTATTATACATGCATGCACTTCCAGACTTGAAATATACCTAAATAGGGATGGTGGCCAGTGCTGCAACGCAAATTGATGTGTTTTCCATTAATTAACAATCTTGAAAGTCAAAGTTCAACTAAGTCAAACAATTTTTCAATGCAATTATGGATTCGACTTTGGGCAAGTTCAACTGCATATGTATTAATTTATACTTGTCATGTTGTGGGTCTAACAGTGGGCTATACTCATATTAAAAAAAGAATAGTATCTGATGTTAGTACTAACCATGTTTGTAGTTAAAGCTACTTTCTCTGTTCGATTTGCCATTACAAGCTTACTGACTTGTTCTCTATAGCTACTCATAATAAGCTCCAGTGCTGACTGATGTTCATCCAATGCTAGTCGTAAATCTTTGTTTTCACGCTGGAGTTCTCGTATCTGTCTATTTTCTTGCTGGATTCCAAGGATAAGCGAAGACCGAGGCCTGTGACGTGCAACTTGATTCATCTCTTCTACCTCTTCTTGATACTTAATTGTTTTAAATAAAATATAGGAATTGTAAAATTACTAAATACTGTACTATAGGAGGGAAAACTACTCTTTGAACAAATTCATTTGAAATGAAGATAAACTGATAGTATTTAGTCCTTCCTAGCATAATGCATAGACAACCCAATATTAGGATTAATCATTCATTATTTATTTACATCCCTTGAGTTTTTTGCATTTGTTCCACTCGATAAGTGCCCAAGATGGCATTTGAAGCAATAAAAGAAATCAAATTGATAAAAATTTAGTCCGATAATACTAATAATAGTCAATACTACAAACCTGTTTCATTGCATCAATCTTCTTGTGTAATGTTGTAGTTTGCTCAATGAGGGTGTCTGCTGCATTATCATGTTCTCTTAACCTCTCAACTAAACGTTTTGCATCATTTAACACTTGCTCAACTGTGAGGCTCATTTTCAAATGGGACAGCAGTGTGTTTGGTTAACTATAAAAAAAAAATCACATTATATGTCATTAGATTTAACAGTGACATACATTTATAATCATTTCAAGCCTCAAAAGTGTGACTGCTACCTGTAATTGAGTTGTTCTTGACGTTAACAGATTATTACCTAATCTAGGCCTAAGGTTTACTGTAATCAGGCGATCAAACAGTGCTCAGGCTACCAAAACGCTTGCGTTCCTACGAGTTCACAGATGATCACGGCGTAGTATTTCAAGCGGCCTGGGCCTAGCATCAATTTACTTAGACTTGCAGCACTAATTAGTCTGCATGTTAAACAAGAGTGATACGAATTTATTTTTCATATTGTATGCTAAGCTAACACTATTTAAATTATAATGAAATTTACAAACTATGGTTAAAAACTACCGTAGAAAATCAGGAACAAAAATTCTCAGCGACGATGGGATCTTACTCGCTCTCTACAAATTACAATTACTTCCGGGTTGACACATTGCATGATGGGAAGAGATTTAAAAGGTGTAATGTTTCTTCACACCATGATCCGAAGCTTTCACACAACATAGTCTATGTACACATCGCAGCTTTGATCGTGTCGTGTTCCCCTCGTGACGTCACGTTCAATACAACATATTTACCTAATTTCAAATGGATTTCGGGAAATTAGCCACTCGGACAAAAACCGATACAAAACCCTAAAATAAATTGTAGGCCTAGGGGCCTACATGGCCAAGAAATTTATTTTTCCATACTTATGAGTACAATAAATGTATTAGGTTACATATTGATTGGTTAACATTTTATATTAGAATATCATGTCCCTTGATCTTTGAGTAGGCTATAATTTTAGAAAAATCCTCTTCTTTAAAGGAAATATTAGGCTATCTTTTATTGAAAGATTATAGTGAGCCAATAATTGAAAAAAATGGTACAGTATAAAGTTTACACACAAAAAAAAGTTAAAACTAAAGAATACAGTCGAACTGGATTTTACATGGGCCTAAATATCAGAGTACTGTAAAATAACGTGATATATAGCTTATTTTTAATTCGTTATATATATTTTTAATTAACTTATGGCCTACTTTTGGGGGTTAGAATAATTTATTTATTTTGTTATTTAGTGAACACATGCATTTTTTAATCATCAGCGGCACTTAAAATGGTACCTATTCCATTTACGCAATTTGCACCGGATTCAGCCATCAGTGTTGCTTTTGTAGCGACAACTCCTCCTCGTTCAATATTATATTGTAGATTCGTTCTAGTGTAAAATTATTATATAGTTTACGATATCTTAATCCAGATAAAGTAAACTAAAAAATGATCTTAATTATGTATTTATTTATTTATTGCACATCCAACAGTGTATACACCAATTACAGGATGAAAATATAAAATATAAAATATAAAAACTTACACAATATCAATGGAAAACCTAAAGTTATTTTAAAATATAATAAGATTATTTTACAGACTCAAATGTGATAGACTAGAAACTACAATGAAAAATATCAAATTCAGGATTATTACAAACACAATTATTATAAAACGAAGACAGTCTACAAAAAATACCATTTTTACAAACATTAACACGTGAGAATTGTACATTTAAAATAGGCTTAGAACGAAGTCTACGAACAGGGACATTAAGATAGAAATTAGAAACAATATTACAGGTAAATATTGAATTTAAACACTCATATAAAAAAGTAGGTCATTAATTTGTCTTTTAATCTTTGGAGAAATAACAGGAGTTTGGCAAGACCAACAGGTTTCTGGGCCGAGAAAACGTAAAAACTTACCGTGGATTCTTTCAATTATAAGGGCCGCTTAAGAGGCCGGATGGAACTAGAGCATACAATCTCCCAAATTTGTGCAGGCACCTAGACGGTTAATTGTGCACAAACAGTTTTCCTTACCCAAGTATATAAATACATTAAGTGCGTGGACAGAATACTACGGAGGGTCTAGTTCCCGGCCGACGGGGAACTGAAGCCCTGATAACGGCAGCTGTTTCTATGTCAATTTCTTATTGTGATTCCAGCAGATGTTTCACTATAGTGCGTCACTTTGATGATTAGTTCATCTTGGGGATGCGAAGCTCATTCAATTCATTTTCTCTTGATTGGTTTCTGTCTCCTGCTGGGACCGACATTTTTGATGAGCTTCATTGTGTGTTAGTTATATACCTCCATGGTTATTTTCATATTGCTAAAATCAGAGTTAAAGTTCACTGAGGATTCAAGGTTTCTTACCACCTCGAGCGTATCATCGATACATTCAATTTAATGTTTTCCTTAAATAATAATAATAATATTATCCTCTATCAAAACCATCAAAATTATAACGGAATTCATCATTTGCATGTAAGAATACTTCAGCTGGACCGATATCCCACAACAGCTCTTGGGCCCTTACGGGATTGTTAGATTGAATGATTAATCATCCATCTTTGAAATGTAAATATCCCGCCCCTATCCTTGGTTAGGGCCGATGCAATGCTTTACTCGTGTCCTCTTTGTGCTACCTCCTCAGCTCGGAAAAGTTAAATAGAACAGTCGGTTAATAGGCCTATTATATATGTTATTAAACTTGGCTAATTTACTTAGGGCCTATAACTTTTTTTTTTCATGACATTTTCAACGTCGGCGTGTTTATATTTCATGTATATATTTCATCATGACCTTACTTAATTTTCCGTAATATTACACTGGTATCTATATCAGGTTTACAAATAGGGTCTAATGAAAAAGCTTTGCGGGTAGTCTAGATTCTGCGATTACCTCTGGTTGGTAGGCCTAAATATACCATGGATTCGTTTGCTCTAATAAATCTCATTAAAGACCCTCCGTCAGATCTATATCACTAACAAAGTGAATCTCATCTTAGCTACTGTAACACCAATGAACAGATGGTAGGTGCCTGCCCTTATGTTGACACCCGCCTATAAGCAGCCGTCCGCTCGGACCCGGTTCAATAAGCTATAGCAGCAATTGTTGTTTAGCAAAATATACAAGGTTTTTCATCAGGATTTCACCTGTCACGAATTTTAGGATACATGCTTACAATTATACCATAGCACTTTTTGATTATATGAATTTCTGAGTATTTATAGAATGATTCCCGGTTAATAACCGGGAACCATTATAACTTGTAGTTTTGTGCGCAGATTCGTTTGCCAAGCAATCGATTGACTTAGCAGGATTTGACACGCGACAAACAGTAGGCCCATCGGAATGTCAACAGTAACAGCTCCGGGCGAATTTCTCAGGCATGATATGCGTGCATTTTGATTTATATATCTCTATTTTTTCTCTTTGTTGATCTGTTCTTGAATGTATTAAAAATATCTGAAGTACCAAAAAGAGCGTGGTAATGGCTGTAACTGGAGGATGCAATAACTGTGTAAAATACCTTTTGTTCTTTTTCAATTTCATTTTCTTGGTAAGTACTGTACTGCAATATTTCCTCTTACTCATCACACAGCAAAAAAAATGAGTGATTGCTTGCCGCTATATTGCTTTTCAATATGCCTACTACACATTCATCACTTAATTAGGTATGAATGATAGATTATTACTGTTTCATGCCTATTATTATTAGGCCTAGTATTAAAATGAGTGATTAACTTAAAATGAAACATTTGAACTAAAAAAAAATTCTCCGTCAATTTCAGGACAATTAAATTTACTTTCCTGTATTCTTTTGCATGATATTTAAATTGTCTGGTAATCAATTTAAGGATTAACTTTTTTCGATCTGTTTCTCGTTGGAAGCTAATAATTTACCGTAGTTATCCTTTCAAATGAGCTATTCAATACTTTGTTTGGATGTTTAATGCATTTTCCTGTCTTCTTGACAGATAGTACATGCGGACACAATGAAATGAGAGTTAAATCACAAACCAAGCAAAAGCTACATTAACACTAAACACGTACAAACGACAACGACATAAAAAAAAAAAAAAAACACAGATTCGCGCAGTGTTGAAGAATACAAACTACGCGATGATGTGTCGTTGTCGTGTCCTAATCGTGTCTAGTGTAAATGTAGTTTTAGGCCTACGTTAGGCATACCGGTACTAATTAACTGATGAATGATGCCCGTGCAGTTCAAGTCATCATCAAATTTAGGCTTAATCATATAAGTTATTACAGTCAGACCTATTCATAAACTTAAATTACGTATGGCCCAATGCCGTAGCCAACTACCATGGACTTGGGGACAGTCAAACACAATTTTTCTAATGGGTCCACAAAGAATGGATCCACATTTTTTTAAATGGGTCCAAATTATACAGTTTTATGCATAAATGAGTAAATTTTTGAAAAATGGGTCCATATTGCTCATATTTAGCATAAAATTGGTAAAAGAATTTTCATATTTTTGCGTAAAATTGGTCAACTTTTAAGAAAATGCGTCCACATTATTTGAATTTACACGTAATGTGGGTCTACCTTGATATTGTCCTGCACTGTTTGAACTTGAATCCTGGCTACGGCACTGGTTATGGCCCTTAATTACTAAATTATAGGCCTAATTGATTAACAGTTATCGATACCTATTAGTCTCATGGCCCGGTGAAACGTATGACGTTAGGCATTAAATTTGCCGCATCTCTCATTAGTTGACGTCAGATTGGTTAGGTTAGGATAGGATTACTTTTGGTGTGACCCAATAACCCAATTCCAAAGACTTGAGTCCAGTGTGGTCCTCTGGAGTCTGGTGGGGAGAGGTAATCCTCTTTTCCAAAGACTGTACTGCGCTCTTTAGCGTGCATAATGAGCCATATTACAGGGGCGGATTTAGGGCCGGTGCCGGCCCAGCCCCGGCCCCCACCCCCACTTTTGGGAAGTAAAAAAAAGAAAGAAAAAAAAGGGGAAAAAAAGAGAGAAAAAGAAAAAAAATGATAGCCCAGAATGCCTCAAATGTTATGTTCGGGCGTCTAGAATACAAAAATTTCGCGGGGGCATGCCCCGGACCCCCTACTACAGTGTTGTCTCAATCGGCCCAACTTTCGGACCCCCCCCCCCTTTGGACCTTTCTCGATCCGCCCCTGAAT